CATCAACCCAGTTCTTCGTAACATGATACATTATAGATATACAGTGAAACTGCATGACGAGTCATTCAGCTGAAGGAGCATGAAAGAGTACAAGTCCCAATAGTCTAACTCTTTGCCCTGCAAAACTTTGTATTCCAGAGCACAGTTGTTCCGAAAGCCGTCCAGCTGAAGCTGCTGGGTGTGCTGTTTCACCTACTGGTACACCTGTCCTTCACAGCTCATATCAGGCAGTTGGTTATTCGAGGCTCGCAGCGTCTTTCTCCGAAAGCCTCACGAGTGCTGGACTCCAGGTGCCGTGGTGTGATCTACAAGGGCTTTGTCTGCCCGGTCCTGGAGTACGGCATGCTCGTGTGAATGAGCGCTGCACCCACCACTCTGGCTCGCCTCACTGCCATCCAACGCCGTGGCCTTCGCCTAATCGGTGATGGAGCGTACCTCTCTAGCTTGGACATCCGCACAATGGTCGGAGCACTCTGCTTTCTGTACAAGCTCCACTTTTCAACTGGCCCAGACATGCTTGAAGCATGTCTGGGCAACCTTGCCACCATTCCAAAGCAGGACACCTATATAAAATGTATACAAAGGCAAAATTGTCTCCCATGTAAATGTACACAAATGTTTTGGCCCAAAGCAGGACGGTTGGACAGCCTGTGCTTCTCACCCTTCTTCCACCCCGAGCAACCACGCCATAGCCGACGCACACAATGGCATCCCTCACACCAGTTGCAGCTCACTTCCACTCTTCCGCTCAGAGCACGGAATGATGACCTTCGCTATTATTAGGGTCGCGTGTGTACATAGTCTAGTCTGTACATTTGCATGCACTATAAAAAAACATGTTGCGGTCAGTCGGTCGGGTGACCCGAAACAACGAATTAATTCTGGATGGCCTAATCTTTTGTTTTTGTGGAGCGCAATGTAACAGTTTTCCCCTGTTCGCTATACCTTTACACTCCCTCGCACCTCATGCATCTTACGCCTGTCTATTAGCACCTTCATTGGCGCCATTGCCACATGTATACTATCACCTTTTGCATATAACTGGTTGAGGCACGCTCAACCAGGCCTCTTACTTTTCAAGTTCGATTAAACCTGTTACACTGGTAGCAGTGGATGTTTACTAATCTGCTTTTGGCAGGTGTTCTGGTCGCTCTGCTTACGCTCCTCGTACTCGTCGTTCAGCTGATAAACGATATCAAGACCGCTCAGTGCGTTAGCCAAGGAAACCGAACGATGCATCCGAACTCGGAACCGTGGGAGCCAACACCCCGCCTTACGAAAGAGCTGCCTGTGTTTGGAGGAGATTCCGCTACATTCAAAGAATGGACGTTTGCAATGGACATGGCCCTACGGTCGTTGGCACTCCCAAATGCTGCACAGAGGGTCGACTACGCGGCAGGATTTTTGACTGGAAACGCTCGTCTTTGGTTGATAGCGCCATTGGAAGCTAACCTAGTGTTTTCCGACTGGCCTGCTCTGAAAGCGGCACTTGGCGATGTGTACGGACCACGGCACAACGAGGAAATTTTGCGTATGGGACTAATTTCCGCAGCGCAGCACGGGTCGCTGGACGCGTACATTGCTGCTTTCACTCGCCTCAGCCTGCAAGTGCCGGAAATCGACCACCACACCAGAGCGCTGCTATTCGTCAGGGGTCCAGTGCCGCACATCCAGCGACAGGTCATGCGTGAGCATCCACGTACCTTGGAGCAAGCTGTCATGGCAGCAAACACCGTAGAGCAGTCGTCAGGGCCACCGGCGTCGGGGCCACCAGCCAGTAGAGAGTCTCGTTCCGTGGCCAGGGCCTCCGCAAGGTGACGGACCAAGAGCGTGTCCTACTGCGAGCATTGGGACACTGCTTTGCTTGCAGGAAGCCAGGCCACCTCGCTAAAGACTGTACTGAGGGTGGACAGCGCTACCCAAACGCTGGTCGCCAGTAAGAAAGGGGGTGCGCTTACTGGCGACGACCCACGCACCCACGCCGTTACCAGTCGCTAACCGGTTCGGAGCTCTGGAGGTTGAAGACGTTGCTCTCCAGGAACCTACTGAGCCGGAGACACCCATAGCTGTAGGAAATTGTCCCGTTGCAGAAAGGTGTCATGTCAGCAACGTCAGCGTTGGTGATGAACCTGAACACGACCTACTGCGCGTACAGGGAAAGATCGGCGGTCGCCGTGCAGTGATGCTGATAGATTCCGGTTCGACGCATGACTTCATTGCAGACGGTTTTGTTCGAAAGCATCATCTTGACACGGATGCAGGCTCAGAAATGCTGAGCGTAACATTGGCGGACGGCTCGACCAGCGAGGTCCCGCAGATTTCCACACGCACGCTAAAGATGATAGTCGGGGGCTTCAGTGAGGAACAGCACTTTACTGTGTATCCCCTGACTCGCTACGACGCTATTCTTGGCAAGCCGTGGCTTACAAGGAACACCCCCAGCATCACTTTCCGTACGAACGAAGTTCAGTTGGACGGTGAGCCCTTTGTTGCCAAATTGCCTTCAGCTAACCCGCCGACAGCCGACCGGCCAACTGTGGAAAGCATGTTTATCAGTGGCCGACAAGCTCGTCATGCCCTGAGGAGTGGAGCAGAGGGGTTTCTTGCATGGGTCACTGCTGCAAACGAGGAGAATCGTTCCGGGCCACAACTCCAGGAATCACAGAAACAGGACATCCAGAACCTGCTCGAGAGGTACCAGGATTTATTTCCAGACGAGCTGCCGAATTAGCTTCCACCGAAGAGACAAGTCGACCATGAAATCCAGATAGAAGATGGAGCCAGACCACCGTCTCGACCCGCCTACGGCTTGCCGAAACCAGAGATGAACGAGCTCCAGTCACAGCTGTCAGAATTACTTGAGAAGGGATTCATTGAGCCAAAGCGCCACCCGACTTCCTCAACCCTATTCAGAGAGGCATAGATTCAGCTGATTGGTGGCAAGCAAGACAAGACGCGGTCAAGATCTCACAAGATGCGCTAGTGGAAGCTCAAGCTCGTCAGGCCTTCTAAGCAGATCGGACAAGGGTCGAGGGAAACCTGAAGGTGGGAGATTTGGTAATCGTCTACCAGGATTTCCTCCTGATTCCTGAAGTTCGGGACCGACCATCCCATAAATTACGCCCCAAGTGGTTTGGCCCCTTTCCTATAACCCAGGTGGTCGGCCCGAATGCCTACAAGCTCAAGTTGCCTCATACCAGCCGCTGTCACCCGGTATTTAATGTGTCGGCACTCCGTGCCTACGAGAAGAACGCTATTCCTAATAGGAGACAGCCTACGCCTCCGCCTATCACGGACCTTGATGGTCATACCCGCTACGTGGTGGAGAACATTCTCAGTCACCGCCGCCGGCCGAATCAGCTTCAGTACCTAGTCAAGTGGCAAGGCTACTCTGATGCCACTTGGGAGCCTGAACATTATTTGTTGGATGAATCTGGTAATGACATTGTTCCACTTCAGAAGTACGAAACCTTGGTTTCTGCCCACTGAGTTTTGCAGTTGAACTTCTTTCACCTTACACATTTTTTTGAGCTTATTCCACTTTTATTTGCATGGAGTTTCAGTCGTCTTATTGTGTTACTTCAGTGCGAAGCCTTTTTTCGTCTCGCACGTGTTTGCGCTTATTGTACTCTATTCCACTTGAGCATTTGGGTTATAAGCTCCTTCCTCTCCATAGGAGGGGGATGATGTAACAGTTTTCCCCTGTTCGCTATAACTTTACACTCCCTCGCACCTCATGCATCTTACGCCTGTCTATTAGCACCTTCATTGGCGCCATTGCCACATGTATACTATCACCTTTTGCATATATGTAGGACTCAGTGACCAGTCAAAGCCCCATGACCAATCACGGTCCCTGTGACCAGTCAAACAGTCACAAACCCCCCATGACCAGTCACAAATTAGTTTACCAGTCACAATGCCCCATGACCAGTCACAAATCACCATACATGTACATGTGTAAAGTACACAGTTCGTGACTGCTCGCAGAGTGCTTCGTACTGCAGGATTTGTTGTGGAAACTATAATTCCCTATGAGCGGTCACAGAATACAGCTGTGACCACTATAATTCCATGCGAACAGTTACATGCGGAATGTACAGTTGCGACCACTCTTTCTCTGTGAGTAGTCACAGGCAGAATATACTCAAGTAGGTATTTCTGTATTACAAGAGAGATTGGAAGGTTTGTCACAACTCTGAGTTTCACGTATTACTACGATCGCCAGGCAACTGATGGCTCCTAAACGGGCAGCCTGAACATAAGGGGGAGCAAGGTGGGAAATTCTGAGGGGTATCATAGGCGACGCGTATCATAGCGCAAGAGTCAGATGCAGGCGTGAAGTTGCCAAGTCTTCAGACTTGGGGCTATGCAGCAGCAGTTCCAGCGTGAATGAAATAGAATAGAGCTGGGGACTTAAATGCCAAATCCACACATGCCCCCACCATTACACACACATACACCCACACTCTCTCCCTTTTCTCACATACACATACACTCACACGCGTGTATACGCGCACACACACACACATACGCATTGTCTAATTCTCTCTCACACACACACACATTCATTCTCTAAATCACACACACACACACACACCTGACCTGACCTTTGACGCCAATCGAAGGAGGCGATGATAGCAATGCTACGGCAGAAGCCATAGCAACTTGTGCTGGGATTGCACCACACACACACACACACACACACACACACACACACACACACACACACACACACACACACACACACACACACACACACACACACACACACACACACACACACACACACACACACACACACACACACACACACACACACACACACACACACACACACACACACACACACACACACACACACACACACACACACACACACACACACACACACACACACACACACACACACACACACACACACACACACACACACACACACACACACACACACACACACACACACACACACACACACACACACACACACACACACACACACACACACACACACACACACACACACACACACACACACACACACACACACACACACACACATCCACACACATTCTCTCTCTCTCTCTCTCACACACACACACACACACACATTCTCTCTCTCTATCTCTCTCACAAAATCACTACCCGCGGAAAATAGATGCGCAAAACGAAAATGGCAAGGATGTGTATTCTGAAACCAACACAATGTCATGTCACCACCATTCAATGATCAATAAATTGTATAGAGCTTCCCATGGAATAGATGAAACGGCCAAACAGCTGAGACATTGAAGAAGAAAAAACACAAGGCTGTTATGGAATGAGTTCAGCTACACCAGGTGACATGGTGGTTTTCTCGAATTCCGGATCCAGATCAAAGTACTGCGAACATGCGGGCTGCACCTGGAATTTCCTGTTTCCGAAGCCAGCCATAAACAGCTTGTACCTGTGACCAAACAACAATAATAAAAAATAGCTATTGCACCTCAGGTAATTGTGGCTAATTCATGAACATGGTTCTTTGTCCTTTGACGGCTTTGGTGGGTCTAACCAAGAGAATGCAAATTTAAACCTTGTCTCTTCGACGGCAAAATTTGTTGTGATGCCTCCTTTTCCAGGATGCCACGTTATACAAAGCACGTTCAAAGCATGTGCTGAGTGTCAATGTTCATTACGAGTTGCACTGCCTTTATTAGAATCCAAAATCCCAAACGCCTGCATTAGAAAAATCACAGCGTATGGTGAACACTGAAAAGGCACGGAAGTGTTACGCTTCTAATGGTCCATTCTTTTCCATCCTTGCACTGTGCAACCTAACAGAGATGTTACATAGAGCTCACCAGTCCTTGGTCAGATGGAAGCCATTCTCATCATTGGTAAACGCTGACAGAAAGGTGGCCCTGAGGGACTTTATGAACTGGACATAGTTCGCTGCAGCCTTGCTGTCCATGTCCATATCCCTAACCTCCTGCAAAAGAGAAGACAGAATGTGCACTAGAACAATTCGTACCCTTCCGAGGGGCATGATCGTATTTGTGTCTCCTATAATCCAATTTTTGATAATATTTGACTGTTTTGAGCTGGCTCCAGACAAGAAAAAATGGCTCATGCTCGTGGAAAAATATGCTGCGCTTGCGTAGTTGTTCTTCCTGCGATACGTTACAACAATATTAAGATGCCTCTTGTTAGCTGTTCTGCCTGGATTTCATTGACAGATGCGTTAAGCCCATTGATTCTTCCATGAGTGACATGTGAACTGAAACTAGTATTATCAATCCAATTTTTATGTATATGTTGAATTCGAAACAGGACGACTGACGACATATCCAGACATTTCAACGGGAACAGGTAGGTTGGGGGACGACATTTATTATAGACGACGAGACAAGAGACCAAGACGAACGAAACGACTACATTGAAGAGTGAGAAAAGAGAGAGAGAGATCAAGTCTGAACGGCAAGATAAAGGGCCTGGGTAGCTATGGCAAATATGGGCGCGCAAGTAGCTACCCAGGCCAACGGAACAAAAGGAGACAAAAGGTGAGTACGTAAGTGCATGCAGGCCAGCTAGAAAAGGTACGGGAGGAGGTACCTAACATACCACCCCTCCATGAAAAAAATCCCGCGTCCTCGCGGAGAGAAAAAAAAGAGAGAAAAAGATTTTAAAAAAAAATTACTGATGGAGAAAACACACACACACAACGCACGGGCCTCACAAAAGTGTGGACTAAAAAATGCACTACAGTCTACAGATCATTACAACCGTCAACGTTCCTGTACTACTCATACTATAGTGTGTACATTGCCAATAACAACGGGCCCAAACGCCCCTTCAAAACATGGCCCAAAAAATAACTATTGGAGTTCGACGAGGGACTTGAATTGTATTCTGATGACTAGTATTTTGCACGGCTAATAGAGCCTAGTTACACTTTAATATACGACATAAATAAGAGAGCGTGGCTCACCATGATCGGACCCCTAATATTAATGAAGGACACCCGCGCGCACACACACTACAAAAAAATTCACGAAAATAAATTTGACGAAGAAGGAACGCATACAAAAAAAAGAAAGAGAGAAAGGTAGCTGACCTGCATGGCTTGAACGACACGAGGTTGATATAGACAAGACAATGTTGGCGTAGGAGAGACGAGGTTGATAGAGACGAGACGAGGTTGGCATAGGAGAGACGAGACTGACATGGACGAGACGAGGTTGACATAGACGAGACGAATGGCGGTTGAGGACGGCTGGGCATGGGATGATCTCAGGGTCGTGGGTCGATCAATAATCGGGCGCCAATGTTGAATTCGAAACAGGACGACTGACGACATATCCAGACATTTCAACGGGAACAGGTAGGTTGGGGGACGACATTTATTATAGACGACGAGACAAGAGACCAAGACGAACGAAACGACTACATTGAAGAGTGAGAAAAGAGAGAGAGAGAGATCAAGTCTGAACGGCAAGATAAAGGGCCTGGGTAGCTATGGCAAATATGGGCGCGCAAGTAGCTACCCAGGCCAACGGAACAAAAGGAGACAAAAGGTGAGTACGTAAGTGCATGCAGGCCAGCTAGAAAAGGTACGGGAGGAGGTACCTAACATATAGAATATAAGCTGAGTCCCGAGTGTTTACGGGAAATAAAAACCCGAAGCAAAAAACCGAGGCGAAGCCGAGGTTTTTTGCCGAGGGTTTTTTTCCCGTAAACACGAGGGCGAAGCTTATATTCTATTTAAATTTTAGTGTAAAAAACGATTTTTATTTGCACTTGACTTCTGGGTAAAGGGGGACGCATGCGCAGTAATTTCTTGTCATTTCCATGTGCATTGAGCAAGAACGTTGCCTTTTTCATTTCCTTGTAACTGTTTTTCGCTTTTGAAGAACTATGGCTGAGTCTTCGCGTTTTGAACCTGTAATTTCCACAAGGAAAGACGAGCTGTTGGAGGGCGCAATGCCGAAGTCAACCAAAATGGCAACGGAATTCTGGTTGACTGTTTTTTTCCGATTTCTTGCAAACGGATAGCAAATCTTGCGACTGGAAAAATGTCACAGAGAGAGAACTTGCGGGCCTGCTCGAAGACTTCTACTGCTCGGCTAAAAAGCAGGACAAATCCGAGTACAAGCGTGCAAGTATGATTGCTGCTCGCGGGGCAACGCCACCTGAACTCTCGAGAGCGAGGAATCAGCCTGCAAGGTCCGGTTTTCAACAGGTACAACAAACTCTTGGATGCTGTGCTAAAGGAGAGGAAGCGGACTGGTTTGGAGGCTCCTGTTGTCCACAAGGATAGTATTGCTGATGATGATTGGGTTCTCCTAAAGGAGTATTTCGCCGATGCGTCAACCACACTGGATGTGAAGAAGGTGACTCAGTTTGTATGGTTCCACACTACGCTTCACTTCTGCCTTCGTGGAAACGAGGCACAGCCTGCTGCAGCCAGTCCCATTCCATCAGTTCTTTCGGCTCAAGGGTCAACTTGGTCTAATGTCACTATCAACATGATGGCTCCCACGCCTGAGAAGAGGAAGAAGCGACTCAGTTTAAAGCTTAAGAAAAAACCCAAGAAGGAGGCCGAGGAGAAGCAGGAGTACCGTAAGCCTATTTGTGCTCACTTCCACTTTCTGCCTTTCGTGTCGTTCTATTCTGTTTTTCCAGTTTTTCTTTTCGTTGTGCTGTTTTTAAAACTCTGAGCCAATATGTGCTGTTTTTGTTCTGTATTACCATGCTGGATTGCTTTTTCCTAAAAAGCGGTTTTTTATAGCACCAGGTTTTTTACAGCACCAGGTTTTTTATACAGGTTTTTTATACGAGTGATTACCAAAAATATTAACTGCTTTTTAGAGCACGCAAATGACTGGAGGTTTTTATACTATAATTTAAATCTTAGTACAAGGCGCAGAGGATGAAATATTTGTTGTGAGCCAGAGTTTCACGCACGCTGAGGAGATCATCAGACAACAACGCGTGAAACAAACTGTTAATCCTCTTCTACTTGCTGTAAGTAGCTCTGCCCGAGGGCATTCAGCACACGTTTGGACAGCCTGGAACCTTTCTGTTTAAAAAAAATCCGAGTAGAGCAAAGATTCTTCATTTGCTTACGACCCAGTTCTGGCCATGCATGTAGGCATACAACATCTAGAGTATTCTTACTGAGGCTGCGTTTACACGACAACGATTGAAAACGATTTGCGTTTACACGACAACGAAGTAGAACCTAAACGGAACGAAATCGTAGCGTTTACTACTATCGTTTACACGACAACGCCCGAAAACGATACCTAAACGGAACGAAATGGAAACGCACTTCAAAGTGTTTTGAAACGTTTTCAAAACGTTTTCAAAACGTTTTCGTTCTCGTGTAAACGGTGAAAACAGTGAAAACGATTGGAAACGGAGCGCGGCCATGGAAACCATTCCGCGCGGGACTATATTTCGCGGGAAATACCTGACCTTTGCGACCACCAGCACTTACGAACTCCAACTAACGTGTTACTTAGGGCCCTTGCGCCTAGCCAGCACGTGCTAACTCCAGCCTGATCGCCCGTTTTCCGTTTTCGTGTAAACGGTTCAAAACGATTTGCCGTTTTCGTGTAAACGGTTTGAAAAAAAACGATTCCAGGCCAGCCCGTTTTCGTTCCGTTTCGTTCCGTTTCGTTTCGTCTCCGTGTAAACGCAGCCTGACAATCACAACTAACCTTGTACGACAGTGCTATGTGGTGGGTACGTGGTGTTTCTAGCCCTGCATAGTAGCCCATCTGAATCAGCTTCTCCTGATCGGCGACTGCATCCCAGTGAATGCATACATCATTCGGAAAGCTTGTGGCATCAAGAAAATCCTTGTTCTGAAACCATTGGAAAGCTGCATGGCAACATGAAAAAAACCTCTTTTCATGCTATTACAACCATCATCCATTTTGGTGATGAATCTGCATCCGCTTTCACTGAGCTTCTATGCACATCTAGGCAGGCATTAGGCACATGCCAAACCACGGCAACACATCGACCAAAGAATATTACACTGGTAGCTTTAACGTTATACCTACTTGTCACAGATACTGTGTTGTTCCAGAGCCCTCCACCGATTAGATGCTGCGGCCCTTGCATCTGGAAATTCACCAGCATCTTGTTTGCGAAATTATGAATCATGTAAAACAGTGGGTCCATAGCTGGTACCATGCCTTCGAAGGTGCCACCCATGCTTGCGTGGAAGTTTCTGTCAAAGTCGAGAAAAAATCCTGTGCACAAATTGAACAAGGATGTGATATTCACCAGGGAGTCGTAAAATACCGGTATTTTACGACTCCCTGATATTCACTAATCTAGAGGCATGGTTAAAGTAAACATTCTGCGAGAATTTACTGCCAGGCTAGAGGGCAGGCAATGTCTTTTTCAGAGGCTGCGTTTACACGACAACGCTGGGGGTGAAAACGCAACAAAATCCTTTCGGGTGCAGGGTTCATTTACACATGTACACACGGAGCAAAACGTAAAAGTTGTACACCAAAACTGAAGAAAACCAAAACGCTGGCCAATGTGAAACAATTTGAAAACGGAAATGTTCTGCCGGATAAATTTGGGTATGTAAACAGTCGAAACGGTCTGGTGACCTCGTTTTCCGTCACGTTTGTTCCGTTTTCGGCCGTTCACACGGATACGACAATCAATTTTTTTACACTTTTCGTCATGTGACGAGTGTTGTCGTGTGGCCTGTTTTCAACTATTCCTTGAGTGTGATTGGTGCTTCCACGACAACACTTGGCACATGACGAACTTTGGTGGATCCTTTGCTCCCGTGTAGACGCGCGAAAACAATACAAACCGAGACCACCTCGGATCAGCTTTGATCGTGTAAACGCACGAAAACGAGAAAAGAAATGGGGGACTGAAAACGGAAAACTGGTCGTGCGTTGTCGTGTAAACGCAGCCGTAGCATCTGATAACGAATATGGGGATATCAAAAAACAATGGACTTCTGTTGCCCTTTTCAGATAGACAGTCACTGTGCAATTCAGTGACGGGATTTGAACATCCAAGTAACCAACACTACAATAATTGTTGTGCTGTGTTCCTTTCGATATCATACATGACAGTGGCTGCTGTATCATATACCGGTAATCAGCTCATCGTTATACATGTATAGAAAGCGAACCAGATGGGACACCCGCATTCAGCAGAATTCCAGTGTTGGTGGAAAGCTGGTGGCAATGATCCTATACAGATGAAATGTTCATCAACAAGTGATCATAAAAATACCCGAGTCAATTGACACACGTGCACCTTTATTGTGGTGCTTACCTAAATCGAACATCTCCGAGTTTTCCGGCGGTATGGTGAGCATTGCGGTGAACATCATATACGAAAAGGGGGTGCTTGTAGCAGATATGTTCCTCTTCAAGCACGTCGTGAAGGGTAGCTCCACGCCATTGTACACAAACTTTGGAAGGACAAATTCTCCTGAAGATCGACAGAAGGAACGTTGTGGTATTGATTGGCATTGGCCTCGGCGGTTAAAATTTGGTAAATATCAAACATGGCCGGCACAGTAACTCCATGCTGGTACGTTTCACTGGGTTTCTCCCAGAGGTCACCTGGACCTGGGTTTTTCATAATCTAGACATATTATGGTAACGGCGGCCTGAAGTAGTGACCGTGCTTAATTTAGCTGCCCAGGGTATACCGTGAATCATGATGTTTTGTACTCAATCGCACCATCACCTGGCGCATTTGGACATTGTATATTCCCGAACCAGAATGGACCCATGGCATTTACACATAATAACGTTATACAGAGGTTATTGTCTTGATGTAGAACTTCCACTCAGAGCTATAGCCAAAGTGTTAGCATGGGAAGCAAGGTAAATACTGTGAACAAAGCCATCTACACAGAATTCCAGTATTTGATCCAAAAACAGTAGTTGTTTTAAAGGCTGTGGAGAAAAACAGCGAAACATAAGCCAGGTCATAACAGTACACACTGTCAACATACTAGTGATAGTCAGACAGAAGAACGAGCAGTTGCGGTTTCGTAACTCCGAGTTTCACGAACTTCTAAAATCGATCATCAGACGAAAATTGTACCAGTAACAGTCTCAATTTTAATTTTAATTTAATTTTTAATTTTAGTAGCTTAAACGAGCTTGCCAAGTTACCTTTTCTATACGGCCCATCGAGCACGCAGTAATCAGGAGGCACTCCGTTTCCTCCAAACCCTTCTGGTAATTGCTCCGAATAGCTCTGCCACGTGAAACCAAAACAAGGCACGAATCAGAACGCTCTCACCACTAGATTTTGATATGGAAAGAAAAACCCTAGCCAAACCTCTTTCTTCAGTGGGATGTTGCATTTAGGCGTTGTTGGATGCATGATAACCACTATTGTGATGCTTTCAAAAGTGGTAATCAATATTTTTGAATGACAGCTTTCGTCCAAACAGTCCACTCGAAAAGAAGGCACGAAACTAGGTCTGAATATCTTTTGTTGTGATGCTTGTGGCAAAGAGCTTGAAATTTGGCTCCTTTTTGCCGGTATTCAGCACGCACCCAGTGGAGGGCGTGTGCACACCAGTCACCCAAGGTCTGCACAAGGACGGCTGTCTGCCAAGCGTCCTGGACACATTGAACCACCGCTGGGCTGTACTTGTTGGCGTTGGTGCTGGAATTGCCATTGTGCAGATCCTGGAAATCAGCCGTGCATGCGGTCTGCAGAGCCACATCAACTACAGGCTTGTATTTCAGTATTTCAGACCAGCATGAACTAAATCAGTACACGTTTCTACTCCTCTAGTACTATAATTATCTGCCTTGCTTCCACGTTCATTATCCGACGTGACGGTATCTCCGCAAGCATCCCTCTTGATGTCTGAGGATTTGAACATGGTCATCTATCTGTATTCATGTATTGTTGTGACATGCAATTTTAGGTTTTTATATGTATATTATGACGCTGGCTTATTTATGTGTTATTCAGGATTCTCCTCTTCAGCACTTGACGGCTTTGCTTTGTCTCTTACTAAGATTCAATCCATACTGTGGCATTGGTAGCGGAGGATGATCTGACTGTATTATAATCTGGTTACGTTGGTGGACAGTTAGTCATAATTCGTAACATAAAAATGATTTTGGCCTTTTTTTAAATCCGTGAATATCTATGTTAGCATTTGTGCTCACCAGGAAGCTAGAACATGGGTTAGCTGGCATATGAGCTTTGGGCTTCCCATAGTTGAAGTTTTTTTTATCAATTTTGAGTAATTGTCATCACTGCTCACTGCCGAGTCACTGGTAATATTAGGCGGAATTTTGGCCCGCAGATTACATAAAATTAATATGGAAGTGGAGCTGAGCGTACGGACCCTCATTTCTCGGGCAACCCAATAGCTACTTGATGAGGTCATCGACGATAGCAAAGAGACTCCGAAAGTGAGCAAAACTGTGAATTTCGCAAACGTAGAATTTGCACAAGTCTTGCGCTCGAGCGGTTTGTACGAACATCTATCATACTGTCAAACGGGCAGATAGGAAGTACTTACCTTCTCGTACTCCAAGGCAACATCCCAGTAGGGGAGGGTAACACGACAGTCGATCAGACGCAGCAGACTCTCCAGCGCCAGCAAAAGCAAGTTGTGATATCCCACCGCATCACTGTAGACTAACTGCTCCTTGTTCGTTATAGTCTTGCAGAAAAACGTTGCGTGCGACCAAAGGATAGCGCGCATAGCTGGCTTGTATATTTCATTCTTGACAGCTTTCAAGTATGCATGCGTAAATCGATCTCTTTCTTCCTGCATAGCAAAAAAGGAACGATCAACAAACCAGCAGAAAAATAGATAGAACTTCAAAATCATCACAACGAACTTCACAAATTTTCTATGTACATGTACTTTCTTTGTCAGTACTTTCGGTGCACTGTCAGTCAACAAATATTAGGCGCATGTTTATTTTCGCCTATTTTCGCCCTGGGCATATTTGGCCTAAACATTTGTTGCGGAAGAAAATTTTGTTTTGCTAGTCTCAGTGTAACAGTGTACACAGGCAGCAAGAGTAGAGGCCGATAGGGGTAATGCGGCCGAAATGTGTTTTAGCCCTGGGAGGCCGGAATTTGAACGGGGCCAAAAATTTGTAGTCTTCAGTACAGTATCTCTCTCATACCTAAAATTTCAAAAGCAAAGCAAACACCAACACACATTTTCCATAAGGGAAGTTCTTCTCTGTGTCTAACGTTCCTGTATGCCTAACCTGTTCTTTTGCCCTCATAACTAAATTTCTTCTTTCAATAAATCAGCGAGGAGACAAAAGTCCTTTAACCCTTTACCGGCAGCCCCATACTTGAATGCGTCGTAAACGACGCATTCGACATGCATACTAAAACCATGCCTGGTATCACAGGAAGCATCAGCCCACGGGGATTTCCCGTGGCCCTCACACAGCCTAGGGATGATCCTATCCGTAGCTGAAGAGATCTACGCGTGTCCCATTTGATTTCATTGAGAACTGCGCGATCGAAAACTTACGGAAATACACGCGCGCCGACAATGCCGTCTGCCTCCGTCAAAACGTCGTGAGATGCATTTCCTCTTGCGCAGTGAATTCCTTTCGTCCTCAGATGACTTCTCCGACGAGGACCTAGCAGACCTTCGCTCTGGGACCGACGACAGATAGATAAATACTTCGTTCCAGCCGCCGATGCAAGCGAATTTCAAATTGCGGAGCGGAGCGCACGCCAAGTAAATTCTCACGCAAATATCGGGAGCTCCAGCCGCTGAAGACGATGTCGTCGTGATGTACCTGGAAGAATCTGCTTATGGTGGCAAAGCCATCGAGAGTGATCCCCGTGTCGACAGTCTCCCAGAGACGGAATTTTAGGCCATCGACTTTCTACGTACCTGATTGACGGCAGCGCAGCGCGACTTGCGCACGACCTTACGGAGCCATCGGACAGCGATTCTGGGGCGATGCTGCTCTGAATTGCGAGCGAGGCACGGCCACTGAAGTCTCTGATGGCTATGGCGTTCGTTTCCGCTCCGAAGTCGACTTGTTTTGGCAGTATCATGTCAATGTCGGAATCTGACGATTTGCACTATGTACAATTTCCGTGTTTAGACGTGTAGGTGCCAATTTAGCAGCGTATGTGTGTGGTATGTGAAAATAAATTTTTCCATGGTCAAGAAGTAGTACCAGACTTCCAAAAAAACATAACTGGCACATACAAAATGTGCCCTCGTTGTGAGTTATTGGCATCCTTCTCAATGTTATGGATTTCATATACAAAATGCACTTGCCGGCAAAGGGTTAATCGACAGAAATAGTGCGTACTCCTACCACGACACAAGAGGAACAAAAAGCACGTACCTATTGTTCCTCTGGTGTCGTCGTGTGAGCACGCACACGTTATTTTCTATCGATGCTTTCTTCTTGTTATGGTCGATTTGAAAAACCACTACTTGTAATTACGCTAGCAAATCAATTTGTTCATTGGTTTCTTCACACCATGGGTTGAATTTTTAAAGAGACTTTGTTTAAGAACAAGTTGACCAGGAGACGATAGCCGCAAAATAGCAATGGATGGAATTAATTGTGCACTCAGAACAATATAAAGAGTATCCAGAATGAAAAATAGTAGTACGTCTTATTCTACTCAGTCTGGAGAGGTGGACAGTTCATATTACTTGTCCGACCACCCAGGATTAAGCCGTTGTTTCAGGTCACCGGACCTGAAACAACCTTTATGATTGCAGAAAGTATTACTAATGAATAATGATTCCTGCGCACGAAAGCAGCAAGCAGCAAGGAATGCTTCTGTGAGGATCCCAGGAACAGGCTTCAAACATTCTCACATCTCAATTTTGCTTCCACAGAGCATTGCTCAGAGCAACTACGGACGAAATAAAACATGCTCTGACAATGCCAGCGACGTGAGCGTATGTGTTGGACGGAACACGACGGGTGGGCCTTTCGCGCCGAAAACTCCCAGACCGTACCTGAAGTGATTTTAGAGGAGATCATTCCCAATCCGCGGATCGCGATCGATTTTCAGCAGTCCAGACATCGACCTCGGAAGCAGCATAATGACAGGATGCAGCGCTTGGTGACGACGTTGTCTTCTATATCTCCGAAATCCGCAATCGGTCCTGAAACAATATCAGCTCCGCCACCTCTTCGCTCATTGACAGCAGTTTTGGTGAGAGCTGCTCGTCAGACTCGTTAACGAGCGTGGCCAAGATTTGGTCGACACCGATCTTGGAGGGAACTTTGCCCTTAATCGCTGGATCGTCTACGGTCAGATTTCATCGACTGGCTAGATGGACAAAAGCTTGGATATTCGATATGCAAAATCTACCGTATTTCCGCAAATAAAAGACCGTCCTCGTATACAACGCCTTCCTCGAATACAAGGCCGGGGCAGGGGCGATTGAAAAAATACAAGACCGTCTCCGATTAGAAGACCGGGCCGACTAAGTGAAAATAGAAGACCGTGTTCAAACTGTGGGAAAAAATAGAACAACGTGCTCAAACTGTGTAGAAAAATATGGAAGAATGGGGGTAAAACTGTGTGGCGAAAAATAGAAGACTGGGGTCAAACTGGGTTGAAAGGATAAAAGACCGTCCTCGAATACAAGACCGTCCTCGATTATAAGGCCGGGGTAGGACGAGTTTGAAAAAAATAGTAGACCGGCCTACTATTTGCAGAAACATGGTATGATTACATGTGTATGCATATGGCAGTAACCAAAAAAAAATAATAATAATAAACCAGACCGACCCTTGTACGGATGAGTGAAGCGACCCGAAACAACGAATTAATTCTAGGTGGCATCGTATCCTACTCTGTACTCATGCATCTTAGATGGCAGGTTGCATGCACATAATCGTACACCAGTGATGCCATACTCAAAGGGTTACGGCTATCTCCGTCTAATGATGGAGCAAATACATACCTGTGATAAGTTCTTCACACTCTTCCTGAGCCGACAGCATTTCCACTTGCCATCCACACACTGACAGTCCAGGTTACACTGGCCAGTGTAGCTAGCATTGACACTGCATTCTGCACAGCAAGCAGGCAACGCAGTGAATGGCATTGCACTGAACAGGCACGCAGCACCAACTTTGGGGGCTGAGCGACAAACAATTCAGGAGGAAAGGGTCGTCCTGGGACATTTTTCAAAATTATAGCCAATAACAAGCATTCTCAGGGCATTTGGTGCAGGTGGTCGCTAAAACCGGAGGTCGCTTACACCCGGTTTTACTGTACTGTCAATTACAATGTGAACACAATAATAGAAAAGCTGACAGGATCGCTTTTCTAAATAAACGATCCAAAATGTATGCAACTGAGTGGTTTTGAAATGAGAATTTGATCACAATAGGCGATATACTGCTATAGCCAATTACTCTAATAACCAGTCTAGTTTGAGTGGAAAAGATACTTTTGCTTTTGAACTTTGATAACACTATACAGGCGTCCCTCTCTAGTCCGGCGGCACCTTTTGGAACAGCAATTTCTGCTGGATAAACAAGGGTGCTGGATTATCAAATCCTGCCCTCCAACCCGGCCCACATGTTAACATACATGTTTGTGTCGTACGTCAAAATGTAGGGATTTTCTGTGTCAATCCAAGTACTTTGCGGAATGCATATCTTTAACACACACTTGGCGGGAATATCCTATACACTGGCATAGGATATTCCCAAGTGTATGTGTAGCGCCTCTTCACCTCTACTAGATTATGTACAATGACGCAACACCGACAGTCAGTCACTTGACTAGAACTACAGTGTATACCGGCCTGCGCCTCTTGAGCCAAAACGCATGACCTTAGCATATACCACGCACTGCATGCACAGCATACTTGATACGCCAGTTCACGCTCCTCTCCCACACATTGCTTTTGTAATCAACTAATCAATGCATTCCGAGAGTGCGCTTTCTCTGTTACTCCGCATAGCTGTCACCTCCTCTGCCTGACCTTTCCTTGACCACCTCGCACATAACAACTATTGACTCCCGCTGTTCTAGCAATGCTTTAGGAAGTGTAGCCTCATGCGACTCCATCCACACGCCTACTCTTCTCTCGACCTCTACAACATTTACTATTGCATTCCACCTAGAACATAGACAAGCATGCCTTCCTTAATCTTATAAAAGCCTCTATTCTCTCCTAGTTCAACATCTCACAATCTAGTCTCAACTTCCTGTAGTTTGACTTTACTTGTCGATCACTCCGAACCGTTGCACATGCTCTCGTATCTACACTTCATATGTTACATGTGTTGTGTATGTTACAATGGTCCCTGACAGCATTCGATGTACAACTGCTGGATTAGAAAATCGAATTATGTACAGTTTGAGTGATTTGTTGCAGAAAATAGCTGCTGGAGGCGGAATTCAAGTGCCGGATTAAAGCATAGAAAATGAACTGAAAAATCCGTTTTGCCAGAAAGTGTGCTGGTTTGCAAGAGTGCTGGATAAACAAGTGCCGGGTTAGAGAGGGACGACTGTATTCGAAGAAGGGCTGAGGCTTCCTGCAGCTTCATCTGTGAAAAGAATTCGGGTGGACACACCCATTCCCATAGCGCTGCACATCACATCCGAACCAGTTCCGTTATTTTTACAACGTTTCGGCACTTGGCCATCGTCAGGTAATAACAATGAATACCGTGGAAGCCACACAAGAGCAATATATACGCAGAGTGCAGCGCCAAAAATAATAATGATAACACTATAGTGAAAAGAAGAAGGACAAAATGTTACGAGTTATGACTAACTGTCCACCAACGTAACCAGATCTTATACAGTCAGCGAGTGCGACAAAACGGCACAAAGCTGACAAGGAGTACTGAGACATTCGGCGACCTGACACCTAGCTCCAACACTTCTCCAAGGCGCAAACCAACAACCTTCCAACTTGGAAGGCTCAGGATCGGAAAGGTCCAAGAGGGGAAGGAAAGTGCAACGAGGAAGAGCACGAGCTACGTATCACGGCAACAAAGAATGCCGAAAGTTACTGGATGATGACGAAACTAGTAAGACTATTGGACATACCGGCCTGACTACAACTCGACGACGCAAAGCAACAGACCACCCAACTTGAGAGGCTCAAGTTTATGTAATAAACGTAGAAAGGGGAAGCTAAGCGAAGACGAATTGTGACAAACCGAAACGCCAACATCCTACTGAACTCCACTATCATGTATGATGGACTAGTTATGTACAATAACAAGTAGTTCCACACGACGTACGTTTCGCCGTAAAGGTCATGACAGCTCATCTGGTGTGCAATATTTAACTCAGATGGTGAGCCTATTAAATTATTGTGAAAAGAAGAAGGACAACATGTTACGAGTTATGACTAACTGTCCACCAATGTAAACAGATCTTATACAGTCAGCGAGTGCGAAAAAATGGCACAAAACTGACAAGGAGTACTGAGACATTCGGCGACCTGACACCTAGCTCCAACACTTCTCCAAGTACTCCTTGTCAGTTTTGTGCCATTTTGTTGCACTCGCTGACTGTATAAGATCTGGTTACGTTGGTGGACAGTTAGTCATAACTCGTAACATTTTGTCTTTCTTCTTTTCACAATAATTTTAATAGGCTCACCATCCGAGTTAGATAACACTATAGCTGGTATATTACTATAACCACCAACCATATACCTGTAGTTCACATTCTTCAGGAAGTGATGGGTAATGCATGGTACATATATTGTGGAAAGGATCGCTGTCGGAACAAATAATAGTAAGGTTTTGCATTCCAAAATTCGGCAAAAGATTCGGCACGCGGGAGCGAGGTCGAAAATGCACACGAAGATTCAGCATGGTTGTTCGGAAAAAGCTCGCTTTGCCGAAAATACTTTTCGGAAAATGTTCTTGTAGAAGAGCACTAGCGAGTGATTTATTCAAAGAGGTTTCTTATCTCGGCATGGCTTTCCAGGCGTCTTCGGCGATATTAGCATCGTATGCTACCTCTGATTGCTCCTGTCCACTCTCTTTCGCCTGGAGTGTCCCCACCGTCATCGGTGAGGCTGAAACGACTATGGCGATACGCATAAAATTTGACTTGGCCATGGAGTTGGTTTTTCTGAGGCGACTGCGGAGGCAGGTTTGGCCCTCGACTCTTTGGGCGATCAAAGTTCGTTGAAATCAGCAAGAAAAGGAGCACAGGACAGGACGTTGCTGATGCTGGAGCTCACGAAATGAAAACACATCATGTTCGACTTGCAAAACAAACGTTGGTACGAAAATTCGACATTTGATGTTCGACAAATGACCGAAAAACGCGGAGCCGAAATTCAGAATGCAAAACCTCACTATTATTACTACATGTATATTAGACTCTGGAAATAACTAATTACTACCTTCTGCACTCCAGACAGCAATGCGACAAGATGACTAACTAATTATACCTTCTGCACTCCAGACAGCAATGCGGCAAGATGAAGGACGAACGTGACATGAAATTCCTCAATGGCTTTAGTAGGTCGGTACTTACCAGTATTCGCCCGTGGGTCACGGGTATGATCTTTGTAGTTCAGCACCAGGTCTTTGAGAATTTCCGAGTGGTCCTTTCCATCCCAATTCCGTGCGGGAATAGATTTGGCTAGCAGCCCAGCTTCAAGCAGAAGCAGTACCGTTAGCGAAGGAACAATCCACATCACAGTGGCAGTCGACGAGGTTCTCATCTCAGTAAGTCGGACAGCCACGTCCTCGCCGCACAGGTTCACCACCAAGAGCGAAACCCTCGCCGAAGAATTTTCAGTACCGGATCTAGTTCTCTGCAAACTAACTACCGGTATTAATTTATTTAGTTACTTGTGACACCACGCGTTCAACTGCTTATACGCTTATACCATGTAGATCTGCACCGGCTAGGCTTGTGTTACTACTACTAGTAGATCTACTAGTAGATCTAGTCTAGTTCTAGTACTACTACTAGAGTGCTGGCAACTGAAATCCGACCCCTGAGCGGTGCACTCACATCACAAAGACCCAACAACATGGGATGGTAAAACTACGAATTTTAGGCCACGTCTTTTTTTTCTTTGTTTCGCGTCACCTTATCCGATGAAATCAATGAGGGAGGGCGAAAAAAATGAAAAAGCCATCCAAAAAAAAACAGTGTACACTCATACCTCGGTTATCCGGACTTCGAAGTTACGGGCACTTCGGTCTACCGGGCTCTATTTGGGCGAGTTTCAGGGGAAATATAACTACTCTTTTGTCACTTTTCGTAGAAAATTTAATATTGACGTCATATGCCATATCGATGGCCTTTTCCCCATCAAGATGTATATGATTCGGAGTTACGGGCACCCTCGAAGTTACGGGCAGTGTCCGGTCCCGAAGCGCCCGGATAAGAGAGGTATGAGTGTACGTGCATTGCATTTCTGTACAGTGAAGCGACGCGGCACTGTTCATCATTCATGTACATGAATACATGAGTGTATATTTAGCACTTTCTGGAAACTAGCATTGCACTAGCATAATCAGCAGGTTTTGCAGAAAACTAGCATATTCTTGCGAAAACTAGCATATTCTTGCAAAACATGGGATTTTCAACTGTGTTCGCATCCGAAAACACTGGTTCACTTCAAATCTTCACTCTACTACTTGAACTAACTAATAATTAAAGGGAAACTGAACGCCAAAAATAAGTATGGCTGATCCGAAGGAGAATTGGGCACTGATTCCGATGAGCTATGTCTCGAGCCGATCAGAGAAGAGGAACTCTGTCAAATTTAATAACACCTCCCATATTTGGAAATTGGCCTTGATGACGTGCGTACTGCTTAGCTGTCAACATGCTGTGCATGTTCAGCAGTGTAATTGAATGGAAGAAAACAATTACTTTGGTGTTTTGCAGCTCTGTTTCGTTCCCTGACGGTAACCAAATCTAGATGTAGGAATCTGTTGAGCAGGAGAGTGACACATGTCTTCCCGAAGGCTGTCCAGGCTGCAGTGGTGATGAAGAAGACACGATCATCACCCCGAGATCGATTGTAGCGAATTGGAAAACTCATGGTGAATTTGCTTCCACTCCAAGGCAATGTCGAGGTATGAAGGGTGCTTGTACTGCCTTCCAAAGTGAAGAGGAGATGAGCATGGCTTTTCATAGCTGTTGTTCTATGCCAACTTACCTACTCTTGCTGGTACCGTAGTGGCATATTGCAAATTTCGTGGACGAACAACTCTAGTCACTAGTGGCTAGTGAGCAACACTAACAGGTGAGATTTTTCAATTCGACAAAAATTGTTTTTGTTTGAGAACTGACAGTGGCAGTCATTAGACTCAGTAGGTGTCTCTCTGCTGCTTCTTTCCCTTCATCGGTAGGGTTGTGCTTGAAGTAAAAATAAATAGAAAATGTGGAACAAAAATCTGATCATGTAAGTCATTTCAACTTCAAAGTATATGTACATCAAGTCACAAAAATGACTGTCAAGGTGGTGCTGTGCATTGAAAAAGACTTGGAGCTGGCAGCAATGGAAAGGGTAGAAACGAAACCAGTAATGCAGAGTATTCATAAGGTAGAGGGAGATGAAAACGGGAGAGGAGTAGTGAGCACTTCAGTTTGAAGTAGTGTCAATAGACAGCATCGTGTTGCATACGTTGTGAATATTGTGTGAATCTAATAATTGGCGGAGGGTAGTGATTAGGCAGAGTATTGTTACAATACAAGGTACTTTGTGAGCAGATAGCAATCAATATCACGGCATGGTTTAGACAGGAACTCATAAATGTCACGAAATTGATATCCAAAATTATTATCCCCTGAGTAGTATTATGGTGTTCTCCTGTGTTTACATGCAGAGCCTTGACGTCGCTGGACGAGCGACAATATAAATTACATAAACATGTAGCTCGTGATGTGGGATGACTGCCGTATCGCATTGCCAACGCAAACCCATCCTGTGTCAGTGCAGCCATCCAGCAACTCGAACTCCCCGGACCAGATGCCGCTGCAGCTGAACACCATGCTGATGGAAAGCCAGGAGTTGATAGCGAAGCATTCTGGTCTGCACAGTACAAGGCAAAGAACAATTATGAATTATAATGCATTGTAATCTTTCCCACACTTCTTTGTAAAAAAACAAAACAGTGCCATTATCACAACACTTGATCAAGCATCTTGATGGAGGTATTTTCCATTGTGCTGGCTCAGCATCTGCACCAGGAAGACCATGTACACTTACACGTATCTTGTGTGTGTGTGTTCGTGCGTGTGTGTTTGTGTATCTGTGTGTGCACACGTGTGTGGGGGGGGGGGGCACGCACATGTGTATGGGTAGGAGTGTGTGGGGGGGGGGGTACACGCACATGTGTATGGATGTGCGCGCTGCATGCGTGTGTCTGTGGGATGGGGTGGGGGTGCACGCACATGTGTACATGTGTGTGCGCAATACAGCATGTGTGTATGTGTTCGTTGAACACAGGGTGTACTCCTGATTACATAAACTTTGTGATCATTGTGATTTCATGTGCTTTGAAGTTGAACTTCGCAATACATGTACTGATGCTTGATTAGATTTATGTTCCACATGTTCTATTTATTTTATTTTACTTCAAGCACTTGTACTATTCAAGCACAACCCTACCAATGAAGGGAAAGAAGCAGCAGAGAGACACCTACTGAGTCTAATGACTGCCACTGTCAGTTCTCAAACAAAAACAATTTTTGTCGAATTGAAAAATCTCACCTGTTAGTGTTGCTTACTAGCCACTAGTGACTAGAGTTGTTCGTCCACGAAATTTGCAATATGCCACTACGGTACCAGCAAGAGTAGGTAAGTTGGCATAGAACAACAGCTATGCAAAGCCATGTTCATCTCCTCTTCACTTTGGAAGGCAGTACAAGCACCCTTCATACCTCGACATTGCCTTGGAGTGGAAGCAAATTCACCATGAGTTTTCCAATTCGCTACAATCGATCTCGGGGTGATGATTGTGTCTTCTTCATCACCACTGCAGCCTGGACAGCCTTCGGGAAGACATGTGTCACTCTCCTGCTCAACAGATTCCTACATCTAGATTTGGTTACCGTCAGGGAACGAAACAGAGCTGCAAAACACCAAAGTAATTGTTTTCTTCCATTCGATTACACTGCTGAACATGCACAGCATGGTGACTGCTAAGCAGTACGCACGTCATCAAGGCCAATTTCCAAATATGGGAGGTGTTATTTATGAAATTTGACACAGTTCCTCTTCTCTGATCGGCTCGAGACATAGCTCATCGGAATCAGTGCCCAATTCTCCTTCGGATAAGCCATACTTATTTTTGGCGTTCAGTTTCCCTTTAAAAATACTAATATTACTTGTAGGATATTTATGACTCTGGCTCAGAGTCTGGGCACAAGCGTTGGGAAAATTTTTTGTGATGGGTGTGCATGAGAAGCCGGTGAGAATGGGAGCGTTTTGTTTCCACCATCGTTTGCCGCTTATTATTCTTTGTTAGCTGATGAAGAACACACGTCATGGCTATGTCCGAGCAAGCAGCCAGAGACATTGTTGATCTAGTAAGCAGTACCGATGATCACTTTGATTCCGAGTTTGACGATGAAGGCGCCTCAGAATCAGAGGACGAGATCAGGACAGCGTGTGAACGTCTTCCAGAACCAGCCAGAGTAGCGATTTCCCGAAAACGATCTTTCCAGAGAAGTGGGAAAGAGTCCGTCGCTAAGCGTGGGCGAATTGCCGGTGGAAGTTCCACCTCGTGGCAGCGTCCACCATCGCGTGCAGCAATTTCCAGGGGAATATTTGACCGTGTCCAGTGGGAAGATTTACTGCAGCGCTTGCAGCCAGACAGTTCAACCGAAGAACAGCATTGTGAAATCACACATTTCGAGCCAAATCACAAGACGGCCAAAGAGCGAAAGTCACGAGCCCAGCTACACCAGCAAGCGCTAATAGCTTCGTGGGAGAAGTACACTACAGACCATAAGAAGGAGCTGGCAGGAACAGGGCTATCTGGTGATGTAGCCAATGATGTCCTCATTCGAAGAGCCAACGTTGTAGAGTCTTTCCTCAAAGCAGGTGTGCCTCTGAGTAAGATAGACCACCTTCGTCTGTTGCTTGAAAGCAACTACTGTCGCATGACGTACAGCACTCACATGGCACATTTGGTGCCATTACTGTTGCAGAATGAGCAGTCTACCATCAAGAAGGAGATTGCAGCTCATCTCACCGTTATTGTCGATGGTACTTCACGCCTTGGTGAGGCACTTGCTGTTGTTCTCCGCTACGTCGATGGCGATTTCAACATACACCAACGCCTTGTACGTTTCTCTGTACTGTCCAAAAGCCTAGCTGGTACCGAACTAGCTCGAGAGCTCATCACAGTTTTGTCAACACAGCTGCAAGCTTCAAGCCACACGGTTCTTGCCTTGGTCCCAGACTGTGCAGCTGTTAATGGTGTTGCTGTTAGGGTTGAAACAGATCTTTTTGACCCCATATATAGAGGCATTAAGCTCCTGGCGGATAATGCCAGAAGAAAACCGACAGAATTTGGTAATTTTCAGGTATGGCCATGGATGTTTAGTATAATATACCAAATATGCACGAAACATAAAAGTACAAAATTGTAGATATCGAAGAAGAGCAGAACTGCCATTTCACTGCCTTTCGAGCAAATTTTGCAATTTTCCCGAGCATTACCCACAATGGCCTGCTGCAATAATGAGGATATGTCTCCAAAAGTAAGATGTTGACTGTTGATCTCAAGTATAGCGAGGCATGTCTCAAAGAGTAGCACATGTCAAAAGAATGTGATGAGCACGACTGGT